TAAGTACCCCTGAGTGGATGAAGATCTCTTACACTAAAGTTAATGATTATCTGTTTTCCTTAACAATTAAAAAGAGATGGAGAGTTAGATTAGAGAGAAGATAAATTTGTTCAAGAGTGAGACTGTTATACCATAAAACTGAGTGTTTATCTATCCAGACTGGTTCTGTGAGAAATAGGGCATGGTTTACAGGCCCTCTCAAATCTGACCAACTCAAGCCCTAACATTACAGAATCAATGTATAACTTCAATTAAAAAGATGGAATGTGGTGTATTCATACAATGGAATACTATTTCAGCAGCAACAACCAAAACAACATAACAACATGGATGAATCTCACAAGTAGACTGTTAAATGAAAGAAGCTGGACACAAAAAGTGTACTTCTTGGAGAATTCAATTTCTCTAAAGTCCCAGACCACACCAGATCATCTAATCAGAACAGAAGTCACTACTGACAAAAGTCTGAATGACTGATTCATTGATTACCTGCCTACACATGCACAAACACACAAATTCAGGGAAAATTTTTACAGAATCTAATAAGATGAAAATATTTCTTTTTGTTCTTTTGCAAATGACTGGGATCTGGGATGCCACTAATGCACTCAATCAAGGATATGTACACTTTACAAAGATGTACGAAGTTGCACACTTACGATTCAGTACACATTTTCGTATGTACATTATTCTCCAATTTTTAGGAGTTTATATTGAGATGATAAGATGAAAAGTACTCAATTAATGTTTTTCCTACTATTGCTTAACTCAGAGCAGCCTAATACACCAAACCAAAACCAAACTCACTGCCATCAAGTTGGTTCCGACTCATAGAGACCCCTCTTGGGTTTCCGAGTTGGTATCTCTACGGAAGTAGATTGCCCAATCTTCCTTCCGAGGAGTGGCTGGTGGGTCTAAAGCACAGATTATTAATTAACACAAAGATTTTCAAAGTCTCATATTGATCAGTGCAAGAATCCACCTTCCCCCCATAATACTATAAAATCAAGTCTCATTTGCTAGATCTAAAAAAAAATTCTCTAGGGTTTTATTTATTTATTTTTATTGTGCTAGACTATCACAAATTTACCAGTTCAACTGTTTCTACATGTACCATTCAGTCAACAAATTGCTTTTTGATTGTAAGGTTACAAATGTTGTTGTTAGGTGCCATCCAGCCACCACTGACTCTTAGTGACTCCATGTACAGTGGAACAAAACACTGCCCAATCCTGCAGCTTTCTCGCAATATTTGCTATACTTGAGCCTATTGTAACAGCCACTATGTCAACCCATCTTGTTGAAGATCTTTCCCTTTTTCTCTGACCCTCTACTTTACCAAGCATGATATCCTTCTCCAGGGACTGGTCTCTCCTGATAACATGGCCAAAGTATGAAAAACGAAGTCTGGCCATTCTCTCTTCTAAGGAATATTCTGGCTGCACAGATTGTTCATTCTTCTGTCAGTCCATAGTATTTTCAATATTATTTGCCAACACCACAATTCAAATGTATCAATTCTTCTTCAATTTTCCTTATTCATTGTCCAGCTTTCACATGTGTATGAGGCTACTGAAAATGCCATGGTTTGGGGCAGACTCACCTTCGTCTTCAAAATAGCATCCTTGCTGTTTAACCCGAAAGAGGTTTGTCTTTTGCAGCAAATTTTCCCAGTGCAATATGTTATCTGATTTCTTGACTGCTTCTTCCATGGGTGTTGATTGTGGATCCAAGTGAAATGAAATCCCTGAGAACTTCAATCTTTTCTCCATTTGTCATGATGTTGCTTATTGGTCAAATTGTAAGGATTGCAGTTTTCTTTGTGTTTAGTTATCCATTCTGAAGGCTGGAGTCTTTGATCATCAGTAAGTGTTTCAAGTCATCTTCACTTGCAGCAAGCAAGGGTGTGTCATCTCCATATCACAGGTTGTTAATGAGTCTTTCTTCAATCCTGATGCCACCACCTTCTTCTTATAGTCCAGCTTCTTGGATCATTTGCTCAATATTCAGATTGAATAAGCATGGTGAAAAGATACAACCCTGATGCACACCTTTTCTGATTTTAAACCATTCAGTATTCTCTTTTTGTGTTTGAATGACTGACTTTTGCTCTATGTACAGGTTTCTCATGAGCACAATTAAGTGTTTGCAATGTTACCCATAATTTGTTATAATCCACACAGTCGAATGCCTTTGCCTAGTCAATATAACACAGATAAACATCTTTCTGGTATTCTTTGCTTTCAGCCAAGATCCATCTGCCATCAATGGTGATGGCCTTCATTCCACGTCTTCTTCTGAATCCAACTTGCATTTCTGGAAGTTCCTTGTCAATATACTGCTGCAACCATTTTTGAATTATCTTCAGAAAAATTTTACTTACATGTGACATTAATGATATGGTTTGATAATTTTTGCATTCTGTTATATCACTTTTCTTTGGAATGGGCATAAATATGGATCTCTTCCACTAGGTTGGCCAGGCAACTATGTTTCAAATTTCTTGGCATAAATGAGTGAGTGCCTCCAGCACTGCATCAGTTTGTTGAAACATCTCAATGAGTATTCCATCAGTTCTTGGAGCCTTCTTTTTTGCCAGTGCTTTCAGTGAGCTTGGACTTCTTCCTTCAGTAGCATCTGTTCTGGATCATATGCTACCTCCTGAAATTCTTTTTGGTAAAGTCACTCTGTGTGTTCCTTCCATCTTCCTTTGATTCTTCCTACATATTTTGTCCATAGAATCCTTCAGTATAGCAACTCAAGGCTTGAATTTTTTTTTCAGTTCCCTCAGCTTGAGAAATGCCAAGTGTGTTCTTTCCTATTGGTTTTCTAGTTCTAGGTCTTTGCACATTTCATTCTAATACTTTATCTCCTTGAGCTGCACTTTGAAAATTTCTGTTCAATCTTTTATTTGCTCATTTCTTCCATTCGCTTTAACTACTCTCTGCCCAAGAACAAGTTTTAGAGTGTCTTCTGACATCCATTTTGGGCAGTTCTTCCTTTCTTGTCTTTTTAAAGACCTTTTGCTTTCTTCATATATGGTGTTCTTAATGTCATCCCACATTCATCTGGTTTTCAGTCATTCGTGTTCAATGCATCAACTCTATTTTTCAGATGGTCTCTAAATTCTGGTGGGATATACTCAATGTCATATTTTTATATTTTGATATTTTATCAAATATTTATCATATTTTGATATTTTGACTTGTTATAATTTTCTGCCACTTCAAAGCTTGAACTTGCATATGGACATTTGATAATCTGTTCTAGTCAGTTCCTGGCCTTGTTTTGACTCATGATATTGAGCTCTCCTATCACCTCGTTCCACAGATGTAGTCGATATGATTCCTGTGTATTTCATCTAGTGAGGTCCACGTGTATAGTCACTGTTTATGTTGTTTAAAAAATGTATTTGTGATGAATAAGTTGTTAGTCTTGCAAAATTCTATCATGCTGTCTTCTGTGTTATTTCTATCACCAAGGCCATATTTTCCAACTACTGATGCTTCTTTGTTTCCAACTTTCATATTCCAATCACTAGTAATTATCCACACACCTTGGTTGCATGTTTGGTTAATTTCAGACTGCAAAAGTTGGTAAAGATCTTCAATTTCTTCCTTTTTGGCTTTGGTGGTTGGTGCGTAAATTTGAGTAATAGTGATATTAACTGGTCTTCCTTGTAGGCATATGGATATCATCCTATCACTGACAGCATTGTAGTTCAGGATAGACCTTGAATCATTCTTTTGATGATGAATGTGACACCATTCCTCTTCAATTTGTTATTCCCAGCACACTCGAACATATGATTGTCAGATTCAAAATAGCCAAAACCAGTCCATTTTAGCTCAGTAATGTCTAGGTTATTGATCTTTATCTGTTCCATTTCATTTCTGACAACTTCCAATTTTTCTAGATCCTTACTTCATCCATAACATGTTCTAATTATTAATGGATATTTGCAGCTGTTTCTTCACATTTAGAGTCATGCCACATCAGCAAATGAAGGTCCTGAAAACTTTACTCCATCCAGATCATTAAGGTCAACTCTACTTTAAGGAGATAGTCCTTCCCCAGTCATATTTTGAGTGCTTTCCAACCTGAGGAGCTCATCTTCTGGCACTGTACCAAACAATGTTTCACCGCTACATAAAGTTTTCCAATAATACATCAGACACTATTTCACTGCTATTCATAAGGTTGTCAGTGGCCAAGTTTTTCAGAAGTGGATGGTCCCATCTTTCCTCTCAGTCTGCCTTAGTCTGGAAGCTCCAGTTAAACCTGTCCACCATGGGTGACCTTGCTGGTATTTGAAATGTTGGTGACATAGCTTCCAGTATCACAGCAACGGGCAAGCCAGCACAGTACAACAAACTGACAAGTGGTGGAAGGTTACCAATAGGTGTACAAAAACATGGGGTTCATTTCTTTACATTGATTTCATTCTGAACAGCTTAGTAACAGAAAGACTTTTCTTAATCCATCAAGAAAAGTTGCTGAGCTAACTAATCAACCCTCAGCATAGAAGAGATTTATTTAGAGAATGGTATTTAAGGTCTCAGGTAGGAGGTCCAGAGGCATTCTAAGCCCTACCCAGATGTTCTCCCTGCCCCTATATTTCTTCATTGCAAGGGCAACCTCTCTTGAACTGGAAAACATCTGGAGAGATTTAAATGTATTTATGGGAAGAAAAATTCATCTGGGTTGTAAATTTTTACATAAAGCTGTGAAAAAAAAAACCACCAGGATTTGTTTTCTGTGAATCATACACACACATACAGACAAAATTTTTATGGACTCCAATGAGAGTAAATCTTTTTCATCTGGACCTTAAGTTAAAATGATAGAAATTTTAAACATTTATCTCAGGTGTGGATTTGCTTGTTGGCAGTAATTAGTCTTTTTAATAGAATTAAGTAGAGAAAAAGGGCAGAGCTTCACATATGTGCAGTTATCTTACTTTTCTATACTAATTCATGGACTTCTTCCATGTGTTTTAGACAATTTTCAAAAATGGGATTTGTGGATGACAAACGGATTGCAATTTGGGGCTGGGTGAGTAGTTGTTTGGCTGATGAATTTGTATGTGTTTCTGAGTGAATATAACCCAGAGCAGGACAGTTTATCTTTTGTATGTAAACATTTGGAGATGAAAATCATGTGTACCATTTTTAAGCTAAGAAGATCCAGATAAAATGTCTAAGATCTGCAGGCAATGACCCTGTAGACTCTCTCCTTACACCTTTCTTTACTGTGATGAGGAAGGGATGTAGGAAAGGAGGGAGACTTTTTCTCATGAGTCAAAGTCAGTCAAGATTTAGTGTTAGTTTGCATTTTTATTCAAATTGATACTACCCAGTTACCAGAGTCAGCAAATTTTCATGCATTGTCCTCTAACATCTAGCATTAATGTGGACCAGAGCTCAGAAGTGCAGTCTTTAGATACTGCTCAATCAGGGCCAGTTGAAGCCTGGTCTACCATGCTTTCTTTCTCAAAGAGGCACAGTTTATAAAGATATGAGAAATGTGGAAACTGCAGTTTGCTTACCATATGTCCTTATTCCTTACCTCCATAAAAATAACCATTTCTATTCCTTAGTCATATGGAGGATATGTAACTTCAATGGTCCTAGGATCGGGAAGTGGTGTGTTCAAGTGTGGAATAGCTGTGGCACCCGTGTCACGCTGGGAATACTATGGTATGTAATTACAATCAAGTAACAGAGAGATACTGAATGTTAACCTTTAAATTTCACTGGCATAACCATTCCCTTTTGAATTTTAGCATTTCTACAGTGATTCTACAGCTGATTCATCTTTGAAGTATTTTATGGGTACACATAATAAGATATTCTCATTTATACTGCTACTGTGAAAGACAGTATGACATGAATTATGTAGGTTATCTACATATTTAGTTACTTATCACTATATTCTGTTTTCTTAATTTCAGAATAGCTCCAATGCTACAATTCTGCAGATTAAACCTGCCTTTTTAAAATTTTCAATTGAATTCTGGGCTTCACATATTAGCATAAGTTGAGAAAACATGTATGTCTTTCTCCTCAGGTGAAGGTCAAATATAAGTAGGGTTTTGGGTGGAAAGGGAACCCACGAGTGGTGTAAATGGTCAAGGGGCTCAGCAGCTAACCAAAAGGTTGGAGTCCAGCCAGAGGCATCCCAAAAGAAAGGCCTGGTGAGCTATCTGAAAAATCAGCCATTGGAAACCCTATGAAACAAAGTTCTACTCTGATGCACATGGGATCACCATATGTCAGAATCAACTCACTCAACACTGTTTTTTGTTTTGTTTTGTTTTGCTTTGTTGTGGTGTAAAGAGGAAGGTCAAACCAAACCAAATTCACTGCCTTCAAGTCGATTCCGACTCATAGTGGCCTCTTTTGGGTTTCCGAGGCAGCTAATCTTTACAGAAGTAGATTGCCCAGTCTTCCTTCCACAGAGTGGCTGGTGGGTTTGAACCACCAACCTTCTGGTTAGCAGTCAAATGCCTTAAGCACTACACCACCAGAAGTCCTAAAGAGGAAGATAAGGGTAGGGAAATTATAGCTCTGAAGAGTTTTGTTTTCTTCCACTACCTCAAAGTAGATGAAAGCCACTCTAGAATATTCTCTTTTTCATTGACTAAATATTACTCAATAAGGCATCAAACACATGTATACAAATGCAAGGCTATTATTCCCAATGGATGAGCAAAAGAAGGCTAGGTAGGAGGGGAAAGTGAGAAGTGGTAAAGAGATGAATTATTTTCCTATACTCCTCTGATCCCATCTCAAGTCCCTTATGTCGTATAAGGATAGAGTCACTGATAATGAATACACTCCTTAAATATTTTATGTCCTAACTCACTGCCATTGAGTTGATTCCAACTGATAGTGACCCCTAGTAAATCTTCCAAGGTAGTAGATCTTCACAGAAGTAGATTGCCTCATCTTCCTCCCATGGAACAGCTGTTGGGTTTGAACTGCTGACCTTATGAATAGCAGCCAAATGCCTTACCCACTATACCACCAAAGGTCCTTATTTTATGTCCAAATCCTGTGGAAATCTCTGTTTTAAAAGTCTCTCCCAGTCAAAAGAAGCCACTGTAAAAACAAAACAAACAGTCCCCCAAATATTGCTATCATTCTGTTTTTTAAAAAAAATTGGAGAGCATTTTTAGGATTTGATTCACATATAACGGATTTTTTCTTTTTTCATATGATACTTTTCTGCTTGATACTAGTTGTTAGATAGCTTAATTTTGGAGACCTCTGATGGTTCCAAAGTTAATAGTTAAAGAAACAATCTTTGTAAATTGGGAAACATGTAAGAGAATTTTATATGGACCAACTTAAAATATAAGAAACTTTCTAGCGTTCTTATACATGTATACATTTGAATAATTTTTTTGCTCAAAGACCTGATAGAAACAATACACAAATAATATTCAAGGGAAAGTTCTAAAAGTTGACAACTGCAGTATTATGTTGTTGTTTTTAATTTCAGATTTTCTTACACATGTAAATCTGTCTAGCATAAATAAGAAAGGGTATTGGGTTCTACGACAAGCAGAATTGAAATCTGCATCTGTTTTTGGAAAGCTTTATTTTGCCCTTGAAGGCCATTTTCGCCTATCATATGCACAACCTAAGTTGTTAATATCTAAGTGTTAAAATTAGAAAATAAATATTTTCTGAAGATCTCATATATGTATATTTAAAACTTAGTGTTTTTTAGCTTTATAGAATTATATATAGTCTATATTTACTTTGAGACCTCTGGTGACGTAGTGCCTAAGGCATTTGACTGCTAACCAGTAGGATAGCGGTTCAAACCGACCAGCCACTCCTTGGAAGGAAGATTGGCAATCTACTTCCATAGAGATATCGCCTCTATGATAGCTTCCGTAGAGATATTGGAAATCCAAGGAGGGGTTGCTATGAGTAGGAAATGATTTGACTGCAGTGAGTTGGTTCTTTCTTTCTTTTTTTTATTCAAAATGATGAAATAATGCTGTTATTCTTTTTGGAGGAAAATACTTTGATTTTCATAGAAATGACATGAAAAATACATACGGGATAACTCCTACTTATATCAATATAGTTTTTAGTCTATAATGCCAATCACCTAAAAAAACAGACTGATGCATATGGTTGAGGTTTAGATGAAATTTAAAAGATGAATGAAATCAGTTTTGAGGTCACAGTACAGTGAAATTCAACCTGTATAACACAATGGCAATATATTATCCTTTTACTCACTTATTTACTATAATCTGGTCACTTAATGTGACATCTTATAAAACAGTTATTTCAGAATTTTAAAGTTATATTGAAATTCAGCCACAGTATATTTTTTCAGTGACACTTTAGGTATATATATATATATATATATATATATACACACACACACACAAGTACATATATATGGCATCAAACACATGTACACAAATGCAGGGCTAGAGCTCCTATACAGACTTATACTAAATATAAATAATATATATATTATTTATATTTATATGTATGAGCTCTGGAGCTCTGGTGGTGTAGTGGTTAAGGCATTTGGCTACTGGCCAAAAGGTCTGTGGTTTGAGTCTACCATTTGCTCCATGGAAGAAAGATGGGGTGGTCTGCTTCCATAAATATTTACAGCTTTGGAAACCCAATGGGGGTCGCTATGAGTTGGAATCAACTTGATGGCAATAATATATATGTGTATATATATATGTATGATTTAATTCTTTTAAAATTTAGCAAAAATACATTTGATTATCCAAAATAATCAAACCAATTGTGCAGCTTATTTTTCACCATATTTAAAATTAAAAAAGGTATGTCATTTCAGCAGACAGATATTAATAAAAACTATTTCACAAAACTCAATGATTATAACACCACAATTCAGACCCCTCCAAAGAATGAGAGAGAGGGAGAGAGAAAAAAAAATGTTTCACTTGTATTAAGATGGAGTAGTTGAGCTGACACGTGGGTCTACAGGAAACACATGACAACTAATTAATTCATTAACTGAATTCCAACCTGCCAAGAAATTTTTTTTTTTTTTTTTTGAGGTAAAGCTTCTTAGCACTTTACAGTTAGCTTAGCAGGTGGTTTTACTGACTGGATTTTGTATCATCAGTTTGATATCTCTGTGCTTCCACCACAAGGGCTAAGTGGAAATGGTCAGGGCTGAGTATGAAAAAAAGCAAGTCTGAGAAGGTGTCTAAGAATTAGTTACTTTGGCTGCATTAGCAAGTTAAATAAGGATGATCTAGAGGTAGACTTCTGAGCATAACACCATATACCTATACACGAGTTATAACGTAGAAAATAGATAAAGTCACCTAATAAAAGGAAAACTTTTTCTTGTGTGAATTAAGTGTTTCCCTTTTCCATCACAGACTCAGTATACACAGAACGTTACATGGGTCTCCCAACTCCAGAAGACAATCTTGACCATTACAGGGTAAGAGATGGAGAATTATGCCCATTTTATAACCTATTTATACGTGGTTTAAGAACGTGTTTAGGTGCATCTATTCTGGAAAGTATATATACTTTTTCCAACAAAAATCTTGCTAAAAAGAAATACCACAGGTGGTCTATAGATACTCCATTAGCTTCCCCTACTATATTCTGCATGATTATAGTCTTGTCATATGCTATATAGGTCGCAATATGCATTCATTTGGAAATACAAAGCAATACCAGAAAATTACTTTAATTATAAATATTTTGCTTTAGAAAATAACATGTCAAATTCAACATATGCTTTAGAGTCTAGAGGACTATCTAAACCTCTGTTGTTGTTGTTATTACATGACATTGAGTCATACCCGACTCATAGCGACCCCTCCTTGGGTTTCCAAGGCGGTATCACTATGGAAGTAGATTGCCCAACCTTCCTTCTGAGGAGTGGCTAAACCGCTAGCTATATATTAAAATTTCTGATAAGATTCACTTAATTAAGATGTATGTACAAGGCTATAATTGTCTTACTCATAGCCACATATGTGTAACTTTTATGCATAAGATTTGAGTAAAGCAGGTTAAGGAGTAGATGCAGCTAGACATTATCCTAAGAAATGCTTGAACCCAAATAACTGAATAGCATCCAACAGACTGGTTTCCTGATGGGAGAATCAATGGGCAGGTTATTCTGCTATAGCATTTGAAATATGGTTTGGGTGCAGCTGTCACTGGCAGCCACTATGTGCTAGTGTGGATGCCACCACAAAGCCAGAACATTCTCTGTGGTGCCACACTGATGAAGCTGGAAGTGCTAATGTACGAATTGGGAACTCTTCTAGCACTTTGACTGTCCCAAAACTTCTTTCCTGATTGTATTCTTCAGGTCAGTTTAAAAAAAGAAAAGAAAAACTGGGAAATTTATAGATTACACGGTAAATTCTCTCTAAATCCATTCTCCAAAGGAGAATATCCATTCTCGAAGGGATATTCAAAGCTCTTCCCAAAACAATACATTAAAAAGACAAACAAAAAGAATAGTTTAAGAACATATTTTTTCCTTATTTGTGCCATAACTTTGACACATGAGTTTCATATTAATACATTGCCCCCCAAAAATATTTGTACATTGTTTGTAAAATGTCACCACCTTACTATGACCTTATAGAACAGAATATAAATGACCCACAAAGTTTCCAGGTCTGTAAATCTTAACAGAAGCAAATTGCCTCATCTTTCTCCTTTGGAGCAGCTGGTGGGTTTGAAATGTCGATCTTTTGGTTAGTAGCTGAATGCCTTAAGCACTGCACCACCAGAGTTCCATTAAACATAAGTATGTTGTTGTTGTTATATGCTGTCGAGTCAGACCTGACTCATAGCAACCCCTCCTTGGGTTTCTGAGGTGATATCACTAAGGAAGTAGGTTGCCCAACTTTCCTTTCAAGGAGTGGCTGGTGGGTTTGAACCACCAGCCTTCTGGTTAGCAGTCAAGTACCTTAGGCACTATGCTACCAGAGCTTTTACCTGTTATTTCTAACTTTAATTATCAATGTTTTGTGTGTGTGCGTGTGTGTGTGTGTGTGTGTGATGTGTTTGTGTTAGTTTATCTCTGTTTTCAGTCAAGGTAGAAAAGTAAGAATCTGTAAAGTGAGATACACAAATCATCTTGCTCTACAAAGCAGTATCCTAATGAGGTTGTCCCCATGTCTGCTGATGTTTGGGCTCAATCTTTCCAATCTTTCTCCATATCCAATAGGCTGCTTCAGGCATCCTTCCTTCAAACAACATTTCTGCTGTCATATGACCTATCTCCTTTTGTAATAGTAAACTAATTTGTCTATTCTTGTCTTTCCACACTCCAGTCCAGTCCACACAGGGCTATGAGATTTCCCCCCAGCACCAACACTTTGATGATCTCTCCTCGTGTGCTCAACTGAGTTCAGTCTTCACTCTTTAACCCGGCACTCAACATCCTTCTTATCACAGCTCAGTTTACCTGGAATGTCCACTGTTTTCTGAAATTTGCCGAATCTTTCCATTTTATGATTTTGCTCACACTGTTCCTTCTGCTGGAAGGTATTTCCCTTCCATCTCCACCTGCTATGAAACTTGTACTGCTCTCCCAGTGAAGGGCAGTATCCCTTTTGAAGTCCAAGACATCATCTATATCCTAACCCTCATTTTATTGTATTTTGGATTAATAATCAAATTGCACGTGTTTCTCCCTCTACAGTATTGCTAGGACTCAAGGCTTTCCTCAATTGCATTTGGATTAGCCAATATGAAGCATAAACCTTAAAATCTTTCTGGATTTAATTAAAAAACCCCTTTGAACAGAAAGATGGTCATACAAGTTGTGTTTCTCCTTCACTTCTCTCATTTTACAGCTTGAATTTTCTTGTTATTGAACTGACCATGTGGTTTAAATTTGAAAAACCATCCCTCCTGTGCTACACTCTATTTGCTCAGTTGCCAAAGGTTTTTCTCAGATACCTCAAAGTAGTAACCTGAAACATTAGAGATGAACTTGCCAGGACCCTAACTCTCTGACTCTAGAACATGGTGCATGCTGAGTCAAAACTTGATTTTAAAATCCTATTCTAAACTAGAGGAGCTCTGGTAGTGTAGTGCCTAAGGCACTTGACTGCTAACCGGAAGGCTGGTGGTTCAAACCCACAAGCCACTCCTCGGAAGGAAGGTTAGGCAATCTACTTCCATAGAGAAACCACTTCAGAAACCAAAGGAAGGGTTACTATGAGTTGGGTCCAACTTGACAGCACATAACAACAACAACAACTCTAAACTAGAAGCTCATGGTCAAGTCCAAACTCCGTTATGTAAGGAAGTCCATGGCACCTAGCCTACTTCTCTGGATGAACATTAGCTAACAGGGTGTTTCTCCCTCAAGGATTCCTCCTCCATCAAAGATAATACATTTTAATCTGCAATTTCAACCTGCCTCTTTTTCCTGTCTTTCCTATAGGCTTCTCTTTCCACACAAGATCCTCCTCTTCCCCAACTCTACCCCCTACTGTGGTGGCCATTTTCATCTTTCCCCTTAGGTGTTCACTGCGTGAGGTAGTCATGTAAATAGAAGTCACTTCCCACTGCCAATGGCAACACATGCACACTGGGTGCACAAAGTCACTCTTTCACTTCACTGCACAGATGGCACTAGAGGACTGTTTAATCCTTCCACGCCAGGAGTCGGGTTTTCTTGGCACAGAATTTATTGCTGGCAATGGACACATTAAAACTGCCAGTACCAGGGAGCTAAAGGTTCCCAATGTGTTACTCAGAGGAATTGTTTGGGAGGGTGATAGTTAAGGTGGGCAGGAGAAAGTGAGGCAAATACATGAACTGAAATGTTTCTACTGTGGTAAGTTGCTTCCCAATTGTGGAGAACTGAATCTAGGGGCCTATTTTTGGTGCACAGCAGGCTTCAGGATAAAGCTGCCCTCCTTTGTTTTTTAAATGAGCCTGTGCTTTTGTCTCTGGCAAGAATACATTCAAAGATTCTATTTTCCTCCAAGGCCCCAGCTGCCCCTCTGGACCCCATCTTTTACACTTCTTTCCCTCCTTCCCAGGTTCTTTGTTTTCCTCTCATCTCTCTTTCTGTCTATCTCTGTCCCTCTCCTTCCTTTCCTGCTTCCCTCCCTCCTGCCCTCTTTGACAAGACAAAGAAGACAATTCCTTAGAGGTTTTTTCGCCACTCTGTGCATTTCTGTGGGTCGGAAGGCAGTGTTTTGATAAGATTCACATTTAGTCGAGCTGGTTGACTCTTTTTAGCACATTGAGGATACGAATGCCCAAAGTGTGTAATAAGGAAGGCCCTGATCTTTGTCCATGTTCCCAGCAGGATACTCTTTCAGCTAAAGAACAATCAACACAGTAGCCAGAATCATAGCCTCTGGAAAAGAATATCATATTTAATGAAACTCGAATGAGAAAAGCATTCATTAGTAGGTCATTGATGATATGAATTTGGAAGAATTTCTAGAAACCCACGTCACCAAGAAAATTACATCTTTTGAAATAAAGTTCCTGCTTACCATCTAGGAAAGGGAATTAGAGGAACCATTTGCATACTCAAGTGGCATGGCACTCAAGTTGCTTGGCAGGGATGCCATATATGGTTTGTTCAGCTTGTGCCCTGCTGGAAGCTAGTCCGTGTTCCATTTGCTACAGCATGCACCTGTAGAACTGCATCCAAGTGGAGGGAGTGGTGTACAGGATGGGAAATCCTGAGGCTGAGGCTTAGACTCAATGCAACAACACAAGCAGTGAGTCTATAAGATTTCATGGAGTTAATCACCCACCTGGAGCTCTTGTAGTGTAGTGCCTAAGGCATTTGACTGCTAGCCAGAAGGGTGGCGGTTCAAACCCACCAACCCCTCCATGGAAGGAAGGTTGGGCAATCTACTTCTGTAGTGATACTGCCTCAGAAACCCAAGGAGGGGTCACTATGAGTCAGGTCCAACTTGACGGCACATAACAATAACAACAATCACCCACCTAACCTACTGCCAAGTAACAAGGTAGGGGCACTTTTACTGGACACCAAGAATTCAAAGAGGAAGGAAGTGGTTCATCTCCCTAAAACACCAAGAAACTGGTCCCAGAGACTCTAATATGGGTAGGCAAAATGGTGGAGTGACAAGTCAGAACTAATGAGCAATGTAGCTTTGTAAGAACACATTTTCTGCAGTGAGTTCTTGGCCCATAGCAGACAGAAATGGTGACAGAATTTCAGCCAAGTAAGCATATAGCTAATGAGACAACCCCTGCTCCCAACAACAATAAGCAAATAGCGATCGTAGCCCCACTCGAGGAGAGGGTTTCTGACTAACATCGACGAATGGTTTTTCATATGACCAATCACTGGATTTTAAGTCAAATTTTTGCATGTTCTTTTTTTTAAATAATAAGTTGTAGACATTCATTCACCCATTCAAAGTGCTTAGTATTTTTTGTTTTGATTGCCTACCTTTTTGGTGA